CGACAAGGTTTTGTCATCATCAGGTACCCTGATTGTATTGGAGAAAGTGTTTCTTGTATATTCTGTTTCCAATGGGATTTTTCCCAGTGTCCCAATCTGCCTGATGATGACAAAACCTTGTCGAAACGTTGTACATTTGCTGTGATGTACATACTAGTTTTGAACTGCCTGCACACCAACATTATTATATTTTCTCATCCAGTTTACTCGTTTGTTTCGTAATTTGATGGTATGATCAAGTTTCATTCAGAATATTTTCTGACAGATAAACAGGTCATCTCCAGGAATAGTGAAAATAAAAAACACATCAGTTTATTGTACAGAGTTGATAAGTTGGGATGATCATTACATAACTGTGAGATATAATTAAGTTTTTACTGCTTTGTCAGTATCTAGAACTAGGAAAGTAAAAAGTTGTGTCAAATAAATGTTAATATTCTCATACCATTAATCTAAGGCTAGATAAACTACCAGTTGTAATCAAAACATTGTATTGTTGAATGAAAATATCCACAAATAATAATATATATATAAAAAAACTGATTAGGAGAATCCCTAATAGATTAAATATTCTTCTTCCTTTTTAGCATTGCTAGACAGAAATGTTTAATAATAACACGTAAACTTGTGTGCAAGTTTGAAAGTGTTTCTAGTGATTAGATACATTATTTGAGCAAGCATGTATATGTGGGTTTATTATATATAATTCTTTTTAACACGAGTTAAACTTGTAATGCTTCAAAAAAAGTCTATTACACGGTTTATTAATGAAGTGTATTATACCTGTGTTAATAATTACTGGGTCATGAACTTAGAAAAGAATTGACTACCAAACTCTAGCTTAAAATATGAAAACAAATTAATATATTAATCATATAAAAATTCTAATTACTGTCATTGCTGGATAAAATATCATCTATAGCAACACTTCCAGAACCCCCCTTTAATAAATATAACTTGCTTGGACCACCACCACCCCTTTTTTTTTTTGAAAGAGTGAGTTGATGAGATATAATACATGGATAATACACATTAAAATATTATTTTTGTTGTAGTGATTACTTATTATTTTCCTTAAATAAAACATTAAAATACTTAATCTTGCACTATTGACTCTAATCACTTGAACCCCCCTCTCGGGAGAAGGGAGGATGTACCCAACAGTTTGAGAAATGCTGATGTACAGTTTTAAAAACATAAAGCCTTTGGTGGTCATCACATTATTTGTGAAATTTTAACAGGTCCTCATGAGCCAGTGGGGGGGACATTTTTGTCGAAAAAAACAAAACAAACAAACTACCCAATCTGGTGTTTCTTCATTTGAACTGAAATTTTTTGGACATTTTTATTGGCTAAAGAGAAGGCATTTCCTGCACTGTTTTAGCTTTGGGGCTACAAACAATTATGAGAAGTAGTAAGGTGGTTGAAATCTGTCAGCACATCACAAGTTTAACAGCCAAGCACAAGAAGCATGGAAGTCTCCAAATGAAACGCAGTCAGAAACCATTTACAACCACTTTGGTAGATATTATGCAGCAAGCCGAGTACAATATTATGTCTGTAACAGTTTTCAAAGTGCTCCTGTCTGCTCATCCTACTGCTGACTATCGTGATGCTTCGACTTTCCCTACCGAATCGCAGGTGAAGTCGTTCGTATCTCAATTGAAAGCTAAGCATAAAAAAGGTGATAGCAGAAGCATAAAAGGTTAGCAAATGCTTAATTAATGATGCTCAGAATGTGGCTTTATTGGTATATACTGAATTTACATTCAGCGTGTAGACCTTAGTACTAGCTAGTATGGAGACTTGAGGATGCTGTATTTCACTTAAATAATTATTTATTAACAAACGAAAACTTGTCTCTAAAAGATACATCCAAAACAACCCTCTTTGGGTGTTTCCAGATTAAACTTACTTTTAATACTCAACAAATTGTTGTGTAAAGATACCACTTGGCTCCTGATGGTCATGTTAAAATGTTATGTTTTTACTTTACATAAGTGTGTTTTGTCAATCTCGTAGAAGAAAAAAAGTTGGTATATGCATTTTATCATAAGAATTGAGAAAACATTTCACAAAATAGCTATAAATAGTTTGCAGGAGTGTGACTTTATTAATGAATCCTCAATTATCCTAGATAAGACTAGGAGTTGATAGTTTAGGAACATGGATTGTGACGATTCTCTTGAATCAAACAAATGGCTATCTCTTCTACAGTGACATAAATAAAATTGTTGATTTTTGTGGTTAACATAAAGGAGACAGTTGTAATTAAGCTGCAAGATTTGTTGAGAATATTAAAACATTCTATATAAATAGGTATACCGACAGAAGCCACTTCAAATAATCAAAAATATATGTACACAATTTGTGAACTAAATAACTTGTGAATAAAATAGTATATAGGTTTGAATCATGTTACATGGTTGTATTAATTTAACATCAAAGCATTTATTAGTCCTATGAATTTTCACTTGCCTAATTGAGTATCTCTTAGTGTTGAGTAAAACTAAAAAACATATTTTTCATCCAAACTCAACTATTGATGTGAAATTCAGTTTTGTTTCATTTTGCTTCATCCTAGATATTTTTTTCTTGTATACTGATTACAAGCTGACTTTGTATTTTTAATTAGATTAGCACGGAAATGCCATGCTAGAGGATAGCCGTTGATGCGTTTTAAATCCATCTGTCTCACTTACTAAGTTTAAAACAATACTTAAACAATAAGCCTAATATTCATGATAAAAAATCATGGTAGTCTACAGATTTCATCTTCCATATTCCTCTTAAATTGTCCATTACAGAAGAGAACTGAGGAAGAAAGAAAAACATAGTCTGGCATAATGTTGCAAATAGCAGGCCTACTGGTTTACAGTGCTGTGCCATCTGTTGGTGTTCAACACCATAACAAGTCCAATTTCTAGATCAATATTATATGCTGTGTACATGTTAACTGAACATTATCATGTTTACAGTGACCTAATTAATGAGCGACAGTTAAAAAGTGCATGCAAGAAAAAACAACATATGAACTAGTAAAAGTTCACAGTTTAAATAAATATTGCAGAAGAGAAGACCTTGTTTCTATGTATCAATATTTTATCTTCTGCATTATGAGGTTATAGTTTATGTAAGAATATGTAGAAGAGCTACACTTGATAAAGAAAGCATACAAGAATCCCAGACAAAAACCTGTTTTCATTATATTTATATACTGGTTTCGATGGTGTATAAGTTGGAGTTTAAAGCCCAAATATATATCCCTAAATTTACATCATTCCTTTTATGATGAAATCTTCAAGAATTTAAGCAGTTTTGACAAATCTTTTTCAGTGTAACTGTTCTACTCTTTATTTTACATCATTTAGTAATTTTCCATTGTTTTGTGGTAGTTAGCATGGTGGCGATTGATTTTTCTTGTTTCTTCCTGCTACAAGATTATAAAATCTTGGTTGACTTATACAGTGGATATATGGGGGTCATCTTGTTCACCATCATATACAGTAGCTTGTTTCAGTACAAGAAACAGCATACTCATTGTAAAAGTTATGGAACATGAGCAAGGTTACAGATTTTCATATAAGAAATTATATTCACTTTCATGAGTGGTGCTCAAGTAATAACTGTAAGAAATGTTTCATGCAAAAGTTGGAATAGAATCTGGCTTTTAAGATCACTGTTAAAGTAGTAAATAAGGATTTAGAATACCTTTTGCTGATTGATATCAAATAATAGTACAACATTGGTTTTTGAAAGAAGTAAGTTCTATCATTATTAAAGCTGTCAAGTGTCGTAAAAGATGCCAAAATACATGATTACATTTCCAGATTCATCATCAAAACAAATATCTTTACGATTTATTCCAAGTCTAAATTAGACTCAATAATCTGAAACCTTTACTACAAAATATTTTTACTTAAAGGTATACATATTCAAAATTTAAACTGCAAGGGAAAATAAAAAAAACACGTACAATATATGATGTACCCAAAACTAATTTGAGTAATCAAAAGACAAGTTATAATTTATTAAAAACGAGGTTAAAAACAGAAACAAAGTAGAATTTATAACAATGTCTGGGTTTTTGAATGGATAGGACAGTCTTTTAGAGGCTAAAATATCCAAATAATCATTACAATATAATTATCTGATATGTAAAATATTATTCAGAAAACATTTTATGTAATATACATAGAAGCACCATAGTAACTTCGTCATTATTTTGACAAACAAAAATAAAACTGAAAACTACTGGTAATTTTAAGTGAACAAAAAAATACGAGAAAGAAAAAGGAACCTTCTTTAATGATATTAGCTTATTTGTCAATTGTGAAACAGTATATTAAAATATAAACAAATACATGGTTCGGTTTCATTACTGGTTTACAGCCAGCTTGTTTTATACCAAGTTTTAAAAAAATTGGATTTGTCTGCACTGATTCTTTCACACATGAACTAATATAATTTAAAAAACTATATATAACATACTCATTGTCATAAAAAAAATTATCTTGACTAAGTTAGTAAGAAGAAAAGAAATATGCTTTTAATACTGTTTCTAAATTGAAAGGCAAAATTGTAAACTTTGTTTTAAAAATCACAGGTTGTTAAAATAGGTATAAATATTATGAAGCTTGAAAAACTCCTCAGCAATATAAAAAAATACTATAATATAAGCGAACCGTGGACTTTTTTAATACTACAAGTAAAGATTATTGTGAAAACAATTAAATCATGATTCTTTTAAACACAGATTTATAAAATTTTATCCAATCAGACAAGACCCTAACAGAAAGCAGAAAAAAAAAACTTGGTATTTTTTTATGTTAATTCGTAACTTCAAGATACAACAAAAAGTCCTCAAAAGTAGACATTTTTTTGGAAATTAACCTAAACACCACTTAAATCATCATTATCCCATTATTAACTCAAGTCTATTTTTGTTTGTTTTTTCCATTTTTAAGTTCAAGGTAATAAAAATATTTGACAAAGTATTATTTCTGACAATTTATAAATGAATTCTGTGACCATGGCAGCTGAGGTATGTGAACTCAAATATATATAGATAGATATATCCTAGTGTTCAATTTTTAAACTTGGGACATATTCATTTTTTTAACCTCAATCAAAGTAATCCATGTTTGTACTGAATGTTTAAGAAAGAGTTCCTCTGGTAAATGGTTGAGGGATTTAGTAGGTACATCTTCCTCTTCAGCTTCTAAATAGGCAATAAGTGTATCTCTTAAGCTAAAAAAGAATATATATGAATATATAATTAGAAGATAACACCTAAATTGTCTAACTGAATTACCAGAAATATACTGTAAGCCTTATAAAAAAACTTTCATGTATACTCTTCACAAACATCACAAATACAACTGATTTTAACTGTAATATTGAATGAAAATAAAACTTTTAGGTTTTGTCCTTATATAACTGGAATAAAACAAGTTTTTCTTATTTCTAAGCAAAGAAATTAAAACAGTCTTAACTATATCCTGATGACAAGTAAGCTATCTTCTAGTGACAATGAATATAAGGATATTACTTACGGCCAATTTTCTTTCCCAGTCTCCTCATTCACGGGCTTCTTATGTAGATAACCAATGATGTATCTATAAAGAATGGTACATACACACGAGGATTCTCTCCAGGACACCTTTGACAAGCACTTTTTCACTGCATCATCAATAGGTTCTTTAAAATCTTCTGGAATTAGCTCAAAAGGATCCTGTGTGTGTGACACATAAAACAGATTAGCAAGTGTTTTTTATTTTCTTTATGCTGAAACTACACACTTGTTATACAATTTGAAGACTTTTCTTACACTGTTAATTTTCACACAAATCTCTTGACACAAAATGTTAACATTTTTAAAGTCTTGATATTTTTTGGAGAGCAGAAAAATATTTCTAATGCAAGTACAATTCAATACACAGCATACCACTACATAAATTATATTTATTTATTTTTTGTTCACTATGGAATCAAATGTTCTGTATTTACAACTCAGTTTTACTGGGTATTAATTCTGACATTTCATGTTTTAGGGAACAAAAACCTTCCAACGAGTCTTAATTCATAGCATAAAATCTAATGGAATAAAAGTAAATTTTTAAAACGGATACAAATTTTAACAGTTAGCACGAGTTTTAGCAAGATTGGTAGCTTTATAACTTGTTTGATGCACTATAATTAAAATACAAATACCTATCATTATCGCACATCTTTGCACTTAAAATTAGTTAGATTTTTAGCCTGAGGACTATTTATTTGTTGTTCTTGAAATGTTTTAAGGGACCCACACTTAAAAGTTATTTATTCATTATCATCTAATAAATGGCTATTTTGATTATTTTACCACAAATATCACATGAAATATTAAAATTACCAGTCTACAGGTGTAATTATGATCTTTTTTTTTTGGCAAGCATGAGAAAAAATTTTCTGATTACCTGATGAGTCAAGTATACAAGTTCAGCTTTTCTTTCACTCAGAATCTGCCACAGGTGTAACACCTGTCCTAGAGTGCACTTTGACAAGGATTCACACTGAAAAATATATCACTAAACTGAATTTTCAAAGAAAAGTGTTACAAAACTCTTTAAGTGTTTGTGAAAATCTCTTAACCCATTAACTGCGGCAGGAGCAGCTCAGTTGCCATTTTCTGACTCGCAGATAAAACTGAGTTGTCATCAATCACAATAAAACGGTAATTTTCGTCATTCATATAGAGTTATAGTTGTACATGTGCGACTGACAGATATATCCGTTGTTATAGCTGAGCCATAGAACTTCAATGACGGAAATATCCCTCACATGCAATTAATGGGTTAATATTAAAAATCAAAGAAACTTAGTGTTTTAAAATTGTATATTCATTATAAAAGTTCATGGGAAAACTTTAATTATAAAACAAGTTTTAAAGAGTTAGGTTTCTATGACACAAAGCTACTTTACATGTTGCATTTTAACACTTGTTTGTAAAACTGTAACTACAAATCTACATACCTGGATGATTACAACTGTTACCAGTACAATAAGTTACATCAACTACAAAATAAACATTTAAATCTTGTTTACTCTGTATCAAGCTGAAACAGAACAGCATTGATACTCATGACAGATTACTTTAATTCTCTTTTCAAAGCATTAATGTTCACCAGCTCAGTCTTTTAAAACAAATTGTCAACAAAACATATATTCTGGGAAAAAAAAGATGTAAGGGACTAATTAACTTTCCAGAAAACGATTCATAAAGATTTTAGTCATTAAATCATTTATAACAGATTGAGAAGTGGCAATCAACAGAGGGTTGAGAATGCCATATAAACTGCAGCCAAATAATGTTGCAAATCATCTCCATATTCTAAATGGCTTATGGAAAGTCTGCAGGAAGGAGAGGTGTGCCTTGGAAATGACAGCCAAGTATAAAGCCTTTTGCAATTAAAAATATGCTACAGAGCTACTTTCAAGATGCCCAGTTGTTGAATAAAGTATGATCAGACATGACAACATTATTATGGGCTCAAATGATGCAAGTTTTAATATAATGTACTCAACCTCTGTAATAACTGACAAGGTCATTATGAAGCAAACCAATAGTGGTAAATGATGTTATTAATAAAGTACTTGAAAAAGAATATAAAATAATTATCATTTGAAGAAGTTGTGAAAAAAAAACACGTTAAATCTGAATGGTTGAGAAGGAAAATCGATAATTAACTGATTATGAAATTGGATCAAACAACTGTGGCAAGTTGACAAAGAAAGCTAAAACTAGTTAAATAACTATATTTTGCAGCCATCTTTAATCTCTCTCGCATATAAGATGTTAACCCCCCCTTTAACTACATTCATTTTACACCTACACTTAACTTCCTTTTGCTACAAAACTGTTTTATACTCACCTTTTTCATCTTTCTTTCACAAACGTTTTGATACCCACATTTAATCTCACTCAAAAGATTGTTTTACACAAACCTTTTTATCTGCTTTTACAAGACTGTTTTACACTAGCTTCAGACCACTTCTATTATATATGTTTTATCCCCTTTTTTTACACACATCGAGGCCTCTTCCCAAAAATATGGAAGACCTGATACAATTCAAAAATATTGATTCTTTTTAATAGGCAGCTTTGTGCGTAACTTCAAACAAACTTTTTAATAGTTATTTGACTACAGTAAAATTTTTCATGTCAAATCAACAATCATATATAAGATGTTGATAATATTACGCTATTTAAAAATCACTCTCAAGATTAACTTTACAGTACTGTGATGAACACTTTATAAATCACTCTCAAGATTAACTTTACAGTACTGTGATGAACACTTTATAAATATATAAGATGTTGATAATATTATGCTATTTAAAAATCACTCTCAAGATTAACTTTACAGTACTGTGATGAACACTTTATAAATATACAAGATGTTTATAATATTATGCTATTTAAAAATCACTCTCAAGATTAACTTTACAGTACTGTGATGAACACTTTATAAATATATAAGATGTTGATAATATTACGCTATTTAAAAATCACTCTCAAGGTTAACTTTACAGTACTGTGATGAACACTTTATAAATATATAAGATGTTGATAATATTATGCTATATAAAAATCACTCTCAAGGTTAACTTTACAGTACTGTGATGAACACTTTATAAATGTGTCGTACCACTCGCAGCATACTTACAGTCTGGAGATTAACACTTTTAGAGTCGAAAATGTTATTTTTTCTGTATCGGCAAGGGATGGAAATGGGAAGAAATTCTGGAAATATTCTTGATTAAAGGCTCTTTATTTTGCGGACCTGGTGCAAGTGCATCATCCCCTTTAAACCCTTACATTATAAAAAAATTAAATAATTTACAGCCTCTATCATTACAATTGTTTCATTCCTACCTTTAATGTTTTCTTCTTATCTTTCACCACAAAATATATTTTATACATGTTTTACCACCTACCTTTTGGCCAACACAAAAATTTGTTCTAGATTCTCCACTTTTCAGATGGCTAAAGCACATAGTTTATACACTCCTTCATGTCCAAAATAGATTAAAGATTGGACATAAACTGAAAACACACAATTTTGTGTGTACACAAAAGACATACTTCTGCTTCAACAAAATATATTTCCATGATGATAATAACTCAAAATGATATGATTCTCAGCTAGCCATCATATTATGTCTGATGTAAGCAACTGAACTTATTTTGGTACATAAAAAATTGAGTATTGACAGAACATGCTTATGAAAACAACAATATCAAATCATTTGAAGCAGTGGGGTTAGCATGACAGAACATATTAGGAGCCCGAAATATGAAAATTATTACTTTAAGTAGAAATGAACAAAGAACCTGGCTACTTGGATTTGAAGATATTAAGTCTTTGAGATCGCACTTCCGACTCTTATAGTGTTTTCTGTGTACTGAGTTTTCCAAAATTACAAAAACTTTACAAGACACAGGATATCATGGCACTTGACATTATATTGTTCATGTGTTAATTCAGTTACTTTAAAGGTTAATAATATTCCCTGTCGACTCCCACTGGAGCATAGGGCCCCAACAACACCTCGCCGACGGAAGTTTGTTGTTGCAGTAATTTTTTAGCAGGTAGGTTTTTACGGGACGGAGTTGCTAGCCCCGCACCCAACCCTCCTCCTTTCTCATCCTGGACTTGGGACCAGGCAATGGTGGTGGCATCCCTGGCGGGGAATGAACCCGGTACCTTTGGATTAGAAATCCTACGCACTATCCACTGCGCTATAGAGACACATACTTTAAAGATTACTGTTATTAATAATAATATAAAATCCTATTGTAATGTTATTTTTTGATAAATTTGTTTGGCACAATTGGTAAAAACATCATTTTTATTTTTTTTTATTGGACAATGAATTGTATTCCTTTAATTGCTGAAGGCAAAATCTCTTAACATACACACGCACAGAAAAATGCTGCCCACGAAAGTTCGTAACATAAATTTTTAAAACTTTAACATGGGCTTTCTTTGTGATAAAGTAGGAGCGTGGTGGTAGGCAGGTAGTGTTAATGTTAAAAGTTATCTTAGCAGTGGTAACTAGCTAGCTAGGTAGTTAAAGTTTAGCTAATTTGGTAAAAGTGTTTGGTTTTCTTTTCATTACTGGACAGTCTGTAAAATTCTGGAGAATGTGGATACTATGAAGCATACATAAATATGTATATACCAACACAGCTTCTATGTAAAAGAGAATCACTTTATAATGCATAAGTCAAGATTAACAGCAAAGCAGAATGACATTGAATTTTCTCAAATACTAAATCCACAGAAATTACCACTTTTCAAAATTTGTAAAAGTCTGAGAAATGTATACAGCTCATTATCACATAATACAGACCTTTTGACCAATTCTGCTTCGGTAATGTAAATCATCAAACAAGTATCTGTCTAAAGAACTTCCAGCATTTCCTCCAGTAGTAGACAGAAATTTCACAGCTATCTGCACTAGGTCTAGAACATCACAAACATCTGCCAACTTAAGGCCAAGGTCCTCAATTAAATTGTTATGAAGAGTCAACGGCAAGGGTGTCTAGATCAAACACATCAGAGTTCAACAAATTTAACTAAATGGTTTATTTTTGTGATTTCCTTCTTACAACAACATATATTAGGTCGTCAATAAATTAATGTCGCATTTTGGAACACTCGTTACCCACCCCCCAAAAAACATACATCACGTATAATAGTTAAATGAACCACCAAAACATCACATTAGTGTAGCCTATTTAATGTGTAAAGTTCAATATACTCTAATCCCTTATAGTGATGGCAAACGATGAGACACACATTCGGCATATAATGCAGTTTGAATACAAAAAGGGAAACAATGCCTCTGTAGCCACAAAGAAAATCAAAGAAGTTTATGGAAATGTTTTGAACGTTCGTAAGTGTCATTGATGGTTCAACAAATTTCGTTCAGGTGACTTTAGCCTTAAAAACTGTGATGGCAGAGGCCAACATATTGGAATTGATATTGATACTCTGAAGACACTTGTTGAGTCTAACCCAAGGCAACACACTCGTGAAATAGCCCTAAAAAAAATCATGTCTCTTATGAAACAATACGTAAACATCTAAGGAGTATGGGAAAACTCCATAAAGAAGGTGTTTGGTTGCCTCACAAACTCTCTGATGATCACTGTTTCTAACATGTAAATGTTGCTTTCTTTCTTCTGGCACGTAATGTGTGTGAACCATTTTTGGACAGAATTGTTACCGGTGATGAAAATTGGATTCTATATGCAAATATTACATGCCAAAAACAATGGCTCAGTCCTAGACAAAAACCACTTCTAACCCCAAAACCTGGATTCCATCCACAGAAAGTGATGTTTTGCATCAAAGGAGTAATTCATTTTGAACTCCTCAGTCCACAGCGAACCGTCAATGCAGAGATCTTTCTTCAGTAATTGGAATGTTTAAGTCAAGCTCTTCATCAGAAACACCCTTCACTCGTCAATCGGAAAGGTGTTCTCCTTCTCCACAACCATGTGGCACGTTTGATATAACACAAGGTTATGGAGTTGAGTTGAGAAGTTCTCCCCCACCCACCATATTCTCCAGATATGGCACCATCAGGTTACCATCTTTTTTCGTTTGCTGCAATACCATCTTAATGGGAAAATGTATGCAAATGTGGAAAGTGTTAAAGATGACATCACCATGTTTTTTGCTTCAAAGCCAAGTGATTTCTGTAATGAGGGCATTAACAACCTGATTGTAAAATGAAAAATCATCATCGATAAGAATGGAGACTATTTCATTTAATAAATGTTTTGTCTTAATATATAAGTTGTTCAGGCTTTTTCATCTAAAACAAAGTGAAATTAATTTCTTGATGACCTAATAACATTTAAAAATATAAACATGCTAATTCTACTTGGTTACAACATAATAAAACTGTGTAGAATATAAATAATTTCACACAACAGCAGATTTTGAAATACACTTCCTATTTCATTTAATAAATGTTTTGTCTTAATATATAAGTTGTTCAGGCTTTTTCATCTAAAACAAAGTGAAATTAATTTCTTGATGACCTAATAACATTTAAAAATATAAACATGCTAATTCTACTTGGTTACAACATAATAAAACTGTGTAGAATATAAATAATTTCACACAACAGCAGATTTTGAAATACACTTCCTGATAAATGGACTCAAGTCTCTAATTAAGTAACTTTAAAAACCGTCTGAAATCATTAATGCACTGTACTTATGTGATAAAACTGTATCAACTATTAAAACTGTTAGGACTGAATTTTTAATAATATAAAAATAATCTGAATAATGAATTTGTATACCTAAAACTTTTGAAGTTATTATTTTAACTTTTGAAAATATGTAGAAAATAGTCCAAAACCCTAACAAAAATAATGTCTAAGTTGTTCATAAGCTAATGAATCAAGAAGAATAAAGTTAAAATTGAGTGTATTGCATGACTTCATGACAAGCATGACTTTGCTGGAGTTTACAAATTGATCAGCTAAGTTCTGGGTTAATCACCAAAAGTAGGGGTCAAAACATAACTAATAACAGGTTTTGAGGAAAGGGATTTAAGTCATTAGAGGATTTTACAACAAGGTATGAGATTACTGTGAAAGGTAACCAGCAACAAGCCACATTATAAAACATAACAAACAAAAGGTTTTCAAAATATTCTGTATTTGTTTTTATACTGTAAACTTCATGTCACTACAAGCCACATTACAAAACATATGCCAAGAAAAGGTTATCTCAACAGGCAACAGGTTCACATCTGTTTTAATAGTGTACAAGTCATGCTACTATTAACTGTATTACAAAACATACACCCCTGCCCTAAAAATAAAAGAGGCATGTGAACAATCCATGTCGATTCTTATAGTGTAAAACGTCATGCTACTACAAACCATGTTACATAATATACACCAAGAAAAGATAATTAAAAACGTCCACATCTATTCTTACATTGGTAAAAGACATACAGCTACAAACATCTTCCAATAAAAATTGAACTCTGTACATCTGTTAGAGACAGAAATATTCTCAATAAACAAATTTCTTGATTATTCAAATACCCAATGTTGCAGGTCATTATGAAACTGAAAAGTAACAAACAAGTAGTTAATAATTATCAGAACAATTTAGGTTTAAATCTAAAATGATGCTTCCTTGTCTATCAGACAGAATAATCAACCTAAAAGTGTTTGCACAAACAATATTTTGTTCCCCCAACGGATGAAGAAACTAGCTGTGGACATTGAATCATCAGTGAAATAACTAAAATAAAATCTATAATGCGATTAAAATTTGAAGTTTATTTTCCCATCCAACATAATATTTCACGTTATTTAACCAATTAAAGATTTGAAGCAACAAATCTAAATTTATGACTACATATATATAATTAATTAAAAGGTTACAAATGTTGAAGTTTGTGAACTACATTAGTGATAACAATGACTTTTGTCAAACTGTGGAATTGGAAGTAAAAAGATCAATTTGAAACAGAAGTAAATTGATTCGAGGTAATTTTTAATACACTTTTCCTCGTTCAATGTAATAAAAGCTTCAATGTTCTTATAGTTCAATAACTCAATAATATCATGAGAGAATTTCACAGTTGCAAGGTCTCACCATCTACTGTAAATATGAGCCTCCAGCTCCTGTAAGTATTGTAAGATTAAATGTAGAAGTGGTTAACCACACACACAACACACTAACATGGGCAGATACTCAATTTACTTTGGTCATCAGCTATTCTCAAACACCTTCAAATAATTACATCATGAATACTTCTTCACACCAAATATGATTATTAATTAACTGATTACAAGGACAGCATGTGAAACATATTCAGTAAAATTTGTTGAAGTTTCTATGCTTTCAAACTTTTCAGACATTCTGTATAGTGAACTCACAACCAAGCAAGCATTTTAAAATTTCCTTCTGCAATTGCGCTTTCCAACTTACCAAATAAATGCTACTGGCTTCGTAACTCCAGTTATGCTGACTTTCAAGAAAATTACTAGAGCTGATTTTTGAACAAGAGTACTTGTTTCATCAACCGGTACAGTAATCTTGGATTTATTTTCAATAATTTTAGAAATTAATTTCTTCTCTTCATTTCAAAAGAGATGTGCTCAATTATCTATACACAGACTGTTCTACTTTGAATCAATCACCTCATTTTGATTCCATTATCCATACATCAATATATTACATCCTTGACAAAATGTTCTCCCCCATATAACATACTGGCACTGTAATTCTTACCAATATGCCATACTGGCTAACTTTCACCACTGCAAAAAACAAGACAAACTACTGAGTAAGTTATGTGAACCAAAAAGTAATATTTCACCCTTAATTCAAATAGATAACTTCTATACAAATAAAATCATTATAACCAAGATAGAAAAAAGGTGGATTTCAGTTCCCAAAATTACTCCTTTTAAAGAGTTAAGCAGGGATACTGACTTATTGGAAAAGATTAAGAAGAGGTCTACTGGGATGATTCTGGAGATGCAAAGGTTAAGTGGATAGGTCAGGATCTCTTATTTCCCTTTGAGAAAAAAATAAAAGAAGTATCTTACTGAAGTTTTCAGTATTATAGAGGGGTTCAAGAAGATAAACTCCTCTGACCTCTTAATTTTTATTCTGAATGTAATAGGATGAGTATACAAAAGATTAAGATTTGAAAAATAAAGCTAAGACAGTTTTATTTTTCCAATAAGATTATTTCACTAGAATGAGATTACCACAGTAGTAGTGGAGGCCAGCAGAAGTTTAGGAGAAATATCAAAGATTTCCTTAAAAGTAAAAGATTAGTTTTAACTTTTCTCAAAGGCGAGTGTGCAAGGACAGCTCTGAAGGACCAAAAGGTCCCTTCTTGTCCATAATATTATTAACTATGATTAATAACTATAAATAATACTCTAAGTCTAAGAGTAGTCACTATTTCTCATATTATCATTATGTGACTAACAGTAAAAGTTTGAGAAACACATACAAGTAACATTTCATCTAACAATGTATTCTACACGCTGACACTGACAACATTTCTTATATATGTGTGTTGTATTGCAACACTGGTACTACTAGTGGTAAGTCAGTGCAGAAAATAGATACATCTTTTTTTTTTGTAATGCACTTTCTCAGCCTAAAAACTAACCTTAAAACAATTCTTTCTTTTCTCAGTTTTCATCACTGTAATACTAAAATGGTATTGTAACAATGGCAAGCTGCACAAACACATGAAAAACTCAAGTTATCAATATATGTAGTACTAAGTTAAAACCAAATCCAAAGCTTACTGATAGTGTTACTATCAGTCATAAGGTAAATTGCCATGGCATTTGATAATATTGGGTATTGTTTAAAAAAATTAAATACGACACCCAATCCATCGTTCGATTCACGACTTATTTCTGAGTGTCTCAGGAGTAAACATGAGAGTTTATACTATTAAAAATTGGGTTTCCGATACCCATGGTGAGTATAGAACAGAGAGCCCATTGTAGAGTTTTCTTGCTTCACAACAACCATTTCAGAAAAATAAATTAGTAACATAAAAAATGCTATATCTATATGCTGATTTAGTGAGGTGAATAAAAGAAACTTCAAACACCATACATACTGTTACGTCTCCGTTTGTTAATTAACTTTCCGTAACTTCGTTCCGACGAAACTTTAGCGACACAAGTCCTTACTTAATAAAACTGGTTTATTCTTTCCGAATACAACTTTACGATACACTTATTTTCAACAATCGTGGCTAAAACAAACGCTATATCAACGAACGTCAATAATACTTCTGACTGCAGTTCAATTACTCACTATCTACACATACATTAATTCCCGTCACGTTGTCACCCTCTTTTATATACCAGGCTACCCTATATCTAGTAAATGCTAGAGCATTCGCCAAAGTACAGTATAGTTCTAGAAAGTAG